GATCCGATCCGGTGCCAGAACTCCAGCTTGCATGGTGTGATCACCACTGGCACCTGTGCCACTCGCTGTCCACTCAGACTCTGTTCCCAACTCCAGAATCTTTGGGACACGAGGTGCAAGGGAAGCCTCCTCCCTACATTCAGTCTCCACCCAGGTACGTGACACCCACAGCATCACCGAGCCACCACCATGCTTAACTGTAGGCAGAGTGAGTTCTGGCATGGAAACCTTGTCTGATTAGTAAGTCCCTTAATGTGCAAACTGAAACCTCAGTACCTGCTGCCCGAGTTCTCAGCACTCTGGTTGCAGCCGTTGATAAATTCCTTTTTCTGCCCCATGCAGCTTAACTATGAACTTGCTTCCAACTGTGTCTCTAGGAACATTCAGTGGCTATACCATCTTTAAGTATCCTGTTCTTGTTTGTGAAGGGCAATGATCTCTTAACTTTTTTGACATAGCCATTTTTCTAACATGCAGCCAAATGTGACACTCAGCAAACCCCGAGCCAGTTCAGATATTTCATGTGTTCTAGCTTAAGCACACCTGGAACAACCAATGAAGCCCCTGATTATTTGCATCAGGTGTGCTTAAGACAACAGCTCTTTTGGAGATGCGTGCTCTTGTGAGGGATTCGATTCAGGGGGTTGAATAATTCTGAGACTGCAGAAGTCATTAAATGTTGCATTTTCAGTTGAATTTGGGGAAACCACTTAAAACATTTTGTTGTGTTGAATTATTTAAATTGCTTTTGTTTGATTTGTTCATTGCACACAGCTGAAAGTCTGTTGCCAAAAAACCTGATTTGCAATGGGGACTTACCATATTTGCTCCTTCCTCTTTGTCTGCAGCCTGCACGCTTCCTCGAGGTTTTCCTCATCACCATTCCCATCTTGAGGGTGGCTTCACTGCTGTACAAGGTCCCGTTGAGCCATCCTTGCGGCACGCTTCAGCCTGTGACAGGTGCGCTTCAGGGAACACATGCATCTTGTCGTTTTGGCCCTGGGGATGGGGGAAGTCATGTGACCATTGTATGATGCTACTGGGGTGCACGCTTTAATCCGCGACAGGGCCAGTATGTGTAGTTGCATTAAAAGGGAAGGGACTGTGTTAAGCTGACTTCGGTGCGCTGTGCAATCAGTGGCACGAGGGGCCTGACATGATGATCATGTGACCTCTATGGTGCACGTTCCCCATGCTCACTGTCCAGAACTTCAAGGAAGTGGCTTTGATGCATAAGTAGCGGCTGAGAGAAAAAGTAAGAGACTGGGGATATATTCTCCAAAAATATGTTTTACTGAAGGTTGTCGTGATATAAGCAAATACATTACCATAAAAAAGGAGGGTTTGATGCTACTTTAAGAAGGGTACACAGTCTTGAACTGGTTGGACCTGGGAGCGCGTGTAGCTGCCTGTTAAACAGACTCCAGGATGGTGCGAGTGTCTCTCTACAGGAGATCATATGGAAGCTTTACAACACTCCTTATACAGGCTTTACAGGATCTGGAACTTTTGCATAAGTGTGAGCTGTCAATACTTAAAAGTAGAACGAAGCCCAAACTTTTTCTTTTTTTGTTTTGAATACAGTAAGGGAGGGCTACACCCCTGCCAATGTTTTTTCACCACCTGTGTGACATTAGGGAGATTTCACTTCCTTTCGCAACAGGAAGCAAAAGAATATCCATCCAAACAGGAAAAAAAATCCCTGGTGGTCAGCAGGGTCACCAGAATGAGTGTCCCCATTGGAAGGTTTCCCATCTATTGCTGTTCTGATGACAACCCAAAATTTGAGATTCTTTTTTACTTTCAGTGATAGCGGTCACCAGGACTAATAGAGAGGGTGAATCTCCCTAATGGGGGCACAGACAGCAGTAAAAACCTGATGGCTAATTATAACTATATCGAAAATGTTATGGCTTCAGATGCACTTTAATAAGAAGATAAGCTGGGCATTAGTTTTAAAGTGGCTCTGCAAGGTAGCCACCTCTGCAATATAACTTTGGAAGAAGTCCCGAGATCAAGAGCACAAACTGAAAGGGGTGTTGGTTCTTCTCAGGCATGTGTATGTTTTCTGTATAGGCCAAAAAGTAACTCCCACTCCATAACGGTCAATCTCCTTTATTGACCATTGTGATGTCACATAAAGCGACATTTTGTAACCAGGGCGGTCCCTTCTTCAGGCAAACATAAAAGGATTTTGTTTGCCTGAAGGGACCGCCCGGTTCCAAAACGTCGCTTTATTTATGTGACATCACAACGGTCAATAAAGGAGATTGACTTTTATTTACTATGGAGTGCGAGTTACTTTTTGGCCTGTTACATTTGATGTGCGGAGGCGTCCGCAGTCACTTCCAGCACCCCCAACTTTCCATGTGTGCTTGATCCGGTCAGGAGTGCAATGGGATTATGTATGGTGCTTTTTGTATAAGGCTCCTTTCACAGGGGCAGATCAGAAGGGGATCAATGCACGGACCCCCTCCTGATCGGAGCAGTATGGTTTAGATCTCACCGCTATGACATCCATGTCTTTCCAGTTTTTGTTTTACATCTTGCGATGGAGGAAAAAACTGAAATGACGAGACCCCCATATCAGTTTATGAGGAATAAGATGTAAACAGATGTGTCCATTTACATCAGATTATCCCTGATCCTGGATGATCCGGACAGTCGAAACGGAACACTGTTCCATTTGTTTTTCTGGACCTGGCCCGCAGTTGGGGGGTAACTGGATCTAAACGGATGGCTTGTTCGCTGACTACGCTTCTGCCTGCTCCTATACTACTACCGTCTGCTTGTGTACCGAACCCGACCCATTATACCACGAATTTGCCTGCTGTTTCAGCTACTGGACTCCGAGCCTGATCCCAGATCGTGACAAACGGGTCGGTTTGGTTTGATATTAAAGTGACCAGCGGTTACACTCTCAGTAATTTCTGCTTCTCCCATATAAGTGGAAGAAAATGACTTCGAGAAGTAAATTGATGTCTCTCTTATCACACTTTTTCTCGAAGCGGAGGAGGTTGGCGGCTATTACAGTTTTCTTTAAGCGAATCCGAATTTAAAAAAAAAAAAGTCCAAAGCTGTCAAAATTGAATCTCATTTGTTTAATGTTTTTTTCTTTCTTTCAGAAGGAAGGGGAGAAAGAATAAAGTTACAAGTTTTTTTTTTTTTTTACAATGTTAAACTAAAACAGTTCTAGGCTACGTGTGTTAAGTATATCTAGAACACAAAAAATGGTTAAATAAGTTTTTTTTTTCTCCTTTTTTTTTTTAAGATACAAGAAATTAAACTTTTCCTTACATTGAACAAACTTCACAGAACAGATACTGCAAAGGAACAACCCAGTAAAATATCAGCATGTGGGCGCACTGTCCGTAATCCACAATGTTCGCGGTAGTGTTTGCTCTTCAGCCACCTTTCAGCTAACCTTGTGCCCAGAAAATCACAGAAATGAGGACGAGGCCTCTATCTTCAATGCTAAAAGGAAGTGGGTCTTCTTACACCCAGGTACAAAAAAAACAAGAGCCTCTACTGGATTATCTACTGTAACCTATTGCATCAGATGGTATCTGTGGAAAACATAGTGGTTTTGTGGCATTTTTGGAGACGGACAACCGCAGAAGATCCGTGGATCTTCAATGCCTGTTGAGAGAAGGTCGCTCCTGAAAGAAAACAAGAAACTGGAAACTCTATTTGTGATAAAAAAAACAAAAACAAAAGTGGAGGCAGCGGTGGGATCACACAAACCCCTTATTCATGCTATGGATACAAATAAGTTGGTCACGGGTCAGAATTCTTCGGGACAAAGCGATCTGCTCTTAGTTCTGCAATCACTTCTTAAAACTTTCTTAATACCCGCCTAACTTTCCTTCTTGAAATGACTGACAATAAATTAAAACAGACGATGACTGCGATTCCCTTGAGTGCGTAAGTGCGGACAGACGTGGAAAAAAAAAAAGGGGGGGTGTATGAAGTTAAAAACAGTCATTAGCGATTACTAGCAAAGGTGGTTTTATACACACACATCAAAAACAAATTTGTTTTTTGGGAAAGTGCCGTCAATAATGAGGAACGGGATCACGAAAAACAAAACAACTTTGATGTGAAACAGTCTTAGAGAATAGCGAGCTCGACTGAGCCTTTAAGACGAGTCATAAAGGAGAGATACTCGTAAGGACCTTTTCTGAGGTTCTTTATAAAAAAGTAATCAGTAAGTAAAAGGTTCCTCTCCATTCTAAAGGTGGTCACCTTCGGCCCACGTAAAACCATTTTCTCTCTCGGGGGTTGCATGGATTAAGCAAGTCAGCTCTCATTTACTACGTACAATTTTTCTAGTTATATGTTTACCCGAGCCCCTTACAGACCTCCCCTCCCCCAGCTGCATAGAGTCATGGCCGACTAGCCCTTTTTGTTTCACAAGCTAACGTTGGAGGCGAGGATTGTGAAAACTCTTGTCGGTAAGGGGGGTGGATGTGGTTG